AAGGCCTTCTAAATAGCTAACAGATCTTCAACTGTTAAGTATTCACTCTTTAGTCCCTCATCAAGATGGCGACGAATAAAGATCAAGGTCTTTGCCCGATCTTGAGAGGATGAGCTGTTCTCTTCCCTAATGGTATCTTCAAGACCCAGATAAGGTAATTCTTCCCTGCTTCCAAATTGATCTTGGTATCCAGTACCCGGATAAGGTAATTCTTCCCAGTAATGTCCAAGGCAGCAAAATCAAGCTTTGCTAAGTTCACAATTTTCTTTTCTGAAAGAAAAATGAGACGTGTAAGAACTTGTAATAATATGTATTCCTAAAGGAATATAGTGTTAGAACTTCGGGTTTTTACAAATTTTTCATTTTGATCTTCGGGCCAAAAATGATAAGCACTCAAAACTTCAGGCTCGAGATTTTCATAATTAATGAGAAGAGCGATTGTACAACACTATTCTCATCGAAACAATTATAAGATGAGCGATTATTCCGCACCACTTCAACAGCAGGAAAATTTAAATACGCAGAGTAGGGTGGGCGCTTATACCGTACCACCTAAAATTGCAATGAAATTAAACAACAGGCAAATTTAAATATGCAGGGTAGGATGGTCGATTATACCGCTCCACCTAAAATTTGGAGTAAAATTAAATCTGCAGTCCAAGATAGGCGATGATACCGCACCATCTTGGATTGCAGTAAAATATAAATAAACACTAGGTTAATAATCAATAGCTACACCAAACAAGAAATCAAAGATATATGTAATTGTTAGGTTGAGAACTAAAAGCAAGCATGGTGCAAACAGTTCTTCGCAAAGGTATGTCCAGCAATTGAGGCAGAGGAAGAAGATGAATAATAAAATCCTTAGAGGAAACTTTTTTTTTCTTTCTTTCGGTGAAGGTAGATGGAAACTATTTAAGGTTAGAGAGTCGTACTGATAACGTGTTATAAATAGGCAAAAGTTAGAGAGATAACCTTTCTAAGGACAAGAGCGAAGCTGGTGCAAATTATCACATTATACTTTAGTAGCTATAACACAAAAAGGATGGCATATAAAGAGAGTGAGGGATACTGATATTATTTCTCTTGCTTTCTTTCGCAGTGTGTTTGATAACAGACGGAATACTCTATTTATAGAGCGACTCTCGTAACTACAACCATCAAAATATAATGATGATACTTTTGAAAGTATCAAACACTATTACTTACTATTACTAAGTCGTTACAACTTTGAGTGGGCATTCATTATTCATCCACTAATTCTATAACAATTTTTCTTATGATATGTTGGATTTAAATGAAAGAATGTACATGTTTTAGTGCCTTTATAGCTAGGGAAAAGAGATGATTGAATTGCAATATTATTGGCTTGCACAAAGACTTGTTAGGCTCCATTTTAATCTTGGGAATTATTTGTCATCTTGTTAAGCCCTAGTACTAAAAAGCTAAACTTATTCTTAATTAAACTTTTATCCAAGTTTGTCATTTTGTCCAACAAGGAGCGGTTGACTTGTCAACAATTTTGTGAAACAAACTTTGGCATGTGACTACCACATTAAAGGGATAGTTTTCTTCCACTCGAACCGACAGAATAAAAAAAGGCTTGCATTCGCTTTATCTCTGTTCGTGTCAGGAATTTCCGTCGGGGATGTTTCCTGGCCAACGAGCACACAGCTCCCCTGGAGGTTGGCGCCGGTTGAGGGTTGCTGTCGGGCTTCTGCTTCACTATCGGGCGTTGTCGGGCAAGTCTCGTCGGGCAAGGTTCTTCGGGCAAGGCTCGTCGGGCAAGGCTGAAAGAGAAGGACAACGTTAACTTTGAGAAGTGCCTTTGTGGGGCCTTAGGTGTAGGCCTTGAGGCTCACAATCAAGGTTAACATTTAGGTGCTCAGGCGTGCCACTGCCATCTTTAGCATGGCAGATGTAAAATAGATGTCGCGATTTAGTTGCATATATGTATGTATCCAAGAAACCGTGTTAGTTATAACAGGTGCCTTTGTGGGGCCTTAGTTGTAGGCCTTGAGGCTTCCCATCAATAACTAAACCGGTGCTCGAACACATCATATTTGTTCTCGTGATTGCCGGAGTTTTCTAACTATTATACTTCTGATTACCCGAGTCCAAGAAGTAGAATGAACCCAAATAGGTGCCTTCGTGGGGCCTTAGGTGTAGGCCTTGAGGCTTCCCATCAGAGTTCATTCTTATACTTCGACTCTTTAGATCGCAGAACGGAATGAATCCAAATAGATGCCTTTGTGGGGCCTTAGGTGTAGGCCTTGAGGCTTTCCATTAGAATCCATTCCATGCTCAAGCGTTCTATGGTAATCATGATATAATAGAAAGAAAACTAGAGGGTAGGTTGATTACTTGCGCCCCACGTAACTTTGGACTTCTCGTTTATCAAGGACTGTTGTGGATGGGTTAAGTCCACATAAGGTTCTTTTTTATGCCTTGAGGCCAAGGACTTTTAACTGATCAGATTTACATGCCCGAGGGCTTAGGACTTGGATCTGGTTTGAACACTGACGATATATTCAAATCGGATTCAAGTACTGAGAAAGCCTTTTAATAGTCATATTGCTAGAAATAACTTGCATATAACTAGAAGTATACAACATATTGAAAAGACAAAAAAAAAAGCAAAGAAGGTCGGGCAAGGTTAAACCTTATCGGGTAAGGTTACTCGTCTTGCAGGTTCCTATCTTTGTAGTTTTGTCAAAGGTCTGAAAGCTTAGAGGGATAGAGAGAGAGATTACAAAAGATGAATCGATACTACAGCAAGGTTGAACAAGGTAGCAGAGCTATTACAAAGGGTTGAAGAGAGGGTTATCCCGAGGGGGATGAAGGCTTGTCCTGAAAGGGATGAAGGCTGACTACAGCTTTGTTTTGAAGGCAAATCTGGCTTTGAGCAGAGTTTGTGCTGCATTTGTTTGTTTGATTGAGTGTCTTTATTTCTGGTTTCTCCTTCTTCTTATATAGACAACTCGGCTTGGCTTTTTGTAGCAGCAGCCTTGCCCGAATGCGGTTTGAGGGTGATGACTCATCGGCTTTTTTACATGTACTGCCATCATAAAGTACTTTATGGGCTGTGTAGCTAATCAGTCTATACCACTAATCAGCCTTTGGGTAGGTAAGCAAGTGGTCTTCATGAGCTGCACCAAGTCAGAAAATGATCTTTCTGCCTTCTGGGTTTTGACTGGGCTTCGGTTATCTTCCCTTTCGGGCCTCCTTTTGGGCCAGCTCCTTTCTTGAGCCCAAAGTTAACTTTTAATCCAAACAGTGCCCCCTTCAATCAATGCTAAGGTTGGAATCCCAGGCGCCATCATTGATTGAATATCCGCATGCGTGCATCTCAATCTTTTGGAACTTCGTGTTTTCTAGACAGGATGAAGGCAACCCCGTGCCCCTTGCTCTTCTCACGACCTTTGAACTATCCCTTGGGGCTCTATAAATTCTGGCTCGAAATCTCTTCTGTCAAGCCATCAAATCTTCTTCAGCCTTTTCCTCCATCATCTTCGAGCGTTCAGAAACTGAGCAATGGGTTCCTTAGGCTTTGAGTGGGATTTCCTAAAACTCCCTTTTCGTGAGAAAAAAGGCTTTCCTTAAAAGACTGCTATCTCCAACACTCTTGGTCGAACACCTCACTATCTCCAACACCCTTGGTCAGACGGTTTCCTCTCGCAGGCTCGTCTTCCCGCTTGTTGTGGTGATAAATCGGGCTTGACCATCACCTATGGCGATGGTCCTGTATGAGGATCCTCTACCAGGCCCATGTTGGCCGTACAACCCGATCATCTAATCGGGTTCCATCCATGAAGACATCGGAAAATCAGCTGAATATCCCATTACACCTAGAAAGAGAATTGACTGTAATGCGTTGGCTTAGACCTTTTTGTAAATCTTATCAATTTGTCGAAATGAAATATATATTATCTCAGCAACTCTTGTCTTTCCATTTTCTTGAATGATTGATAAATATACACTGCACATTGATATCCCGAAGCTTGCCTTACCTTGCATCTTCTTCGATATAACAGTCTCTGACATCCCACAACGTAGGACAATATTTCTTTAAGAATCTAACATTAATGGGATGTCTATGCCTGTTTCCCTCAAGGTCCGCCAAGTAGTATCCTCCTCTATCCAAAACGCGACTAATAATGAAAGGACCTTCCCATGTCGGGCTCCATTTCCCAAAGCCCTTTAGCTGAGCTCCTAGAGGGAGGACTGTCTTCCATACTAAGTCTCCCTCCTTGAAGGATTTCATCTTCACCTTTTTGATAAGCTCGGGCAACGGCTCGCTTCCCTTCTTGAATCTGGTTCAAAGCTTCAATTCTGGCGGCATCCAAGTCTTCAATTCCTTGACACATGGCTTCGACATACTCTTCACTATGCAATCCAAATTGATTTTGAATTCTTAAAGAACTCACATTGATTTCCACGGGGAGCACTGCATCTTGCCCGAAAGTTAAAGCATAAGGAGTTGTCCATGTTCCTGCTCTTTTAGAAGTTTTGTATGCCCACAAAGTGTTCCCCAGATTTTCATGTTATTTTTCTGGGCTATCAATCACCATTTTCTTGATAATGTTGACCAGGATCTTGTTACTGGCTTCTGCCTGGCCATTTGATTACGGGTAGTATGGACTGGACTGGATCATCTTTATTTTGTACTTACTTGCAAACTCCTAAACTTCTTTTGAAATAAAAGATGGTCCACGATCTGTCACAATAGTTTCGGGCACCCCATATCTGTGCAGGATCTTGGTCTCGATAAAATTTTTTACTGTGGCTGAAGTTATGGATTTTATTGCTGATGCTTCCACCCACTTGGTAAAGTAATCCGTTGCTACAATTATGAAGATATGCCCTTTGCTAGAAGCTGGATAGATTTGCCCGATGAAGTCCATTGCCCATCATCTGAAGGGCCAAGGCTTGACTACTGGATTTAAAGGCACTGAGGGCACATGCTGGAGAGGTCCGTGCCTCTGACATTCTTCACACCCTCAGGCATAAAACTTACAATCTTTTTCCATGTCGGGCCAGAAATAACCATACCTCCTAAGCAACCATCTCATCTTCGTTCTAGCCTGATGTGCTCCACATACTCCTTCATGTACTTCGGCCATTACCCTCATGGATTCTTCTTGGCCCAAGCATTTCAACAGTAACCCATCTGGAGTTTTCCTTAGCAAGTTCTTCGCCCATAAGACATACTTGGTTGCTTGCTGTCTATCCTTCTTGCTTGTAGGCGAGGAAGGATCCTTCAAATGATGAATAATAGGTGACCTCCAATCTTCTATCTCGGCCTCTAGCACCATTATATCTAGACTGAATCCCCTTTCTAAGATGGAATGGAGGTTTCTTCTTTGGATCTCGACATCTACCCCATATTTCCTCTCCTGTATTGGCACTCCTGAGGCTAGTTGTGCCATCTCGTTGGCCGCTAAATTGGATTCCCTGGGAACATGATTGACTGATATCTCAGAATCCCAGACATTCAATAATTGCGTAGCTGCCAAGTAATACCCCGCCATGGTAATATGTCTGCACTTGAACTCCCCATTTAACTGGTTTATTACCAACTCTGAATCCCCAAAGACCTCTACCTCTACTGCCCCCAGATCCATCAAGATTTCCAGACCAATAATTAAGGCCTCATACTCTGCCCGATTATTAGTATTCCCTTGGTAGTCCAAGAGAAATGAATAATAATGATAAACTCCCTGAGGGTTTACAATTACAATTCCTGCTCCTGAAGCCTTCTGAGTGTGGGATCCATCGAAATACAACTTCCAATGAGTGATCCAAAGACCAGCCACTCTTCTTATCTCTTGCTGGACCCAGTCTTCTTTGCCCGAAATATCTTTTCTCGGCGGGATCCAAATGCTAGTAACCTCTAAGCTTCCCGGGATATTGATCACCTCACTTGAAGATTCTTGATGCTCGGTCAGGAAGTCGGTAATTGCTTGACCTTTGACTGCCCTTTGGGGTACGTACTGAAAACTGAATTCCGATAAAGCTAGAATCCATTTCCCAATCCTTCCTATGAGCATTGGCTTTGACAACATGTACTTTATCACATCTGTCTTGGCGATGATGTGCACGTGACAAGGTAACATGTAATGCCTTAATTTACTGGCAGTGAAATATAAAGCCAAGCATAATCTCTCTACCGGGGAATACCTTGTTTCTACCTCGGTCAGAATTCTACTGAGGTAGTACACTGCCTACTCATTCCCGCCTTCATTATTTTGGGCTAGCAAGCTCCCGATTGACTTTTCAGAGGCAGAAATATACAGCTTCAAGGGTTTTCCCCTTTGAGGTGGCACCAACACTGGTGGAGAAGTTAAATAGGCCTTGATGCTGTCAAAGGCCTGTTGGTGCGGTGGTCCCCATTCAAATTTCTCTTTATCTTTCAACCTTAGTAAAGGAGTCAGCGGCTGGATTTTGCCTGCTAAATTAGCAATGAATCTTCTCAAAAAGTTAATTTTGCCTAGTAACCTCTGGAGTTGCACCTTGTTGGTAGGTGAAGGTGACTCCATTATTGCCCGAGATTTGTTCTTATCCACTTCTACCCCTCTTTGATGCACCAGGAATCCCAAGAAGTTGCCCGCTCTTACTCCAAGCGCACACTTCTTTGGATTCATCTTCAATTTGTGGATCCTCATCCTTACTAGTGTCTGTCTGAGATCTTCCAGATGCTGTTCTTCTGTATTGGACTTTACCACTATGTCATCGATGTATACCTCCATTCTCTGGCCAATTAGATCATGAAAGATGGCATTCATTGCCCTCTGGTAAGTTGCACCAGCATTCTTGAGCCCGAATGGCATGACTAGATATTCATATGCCCCCACATGACCGGGACACCTAAAAGCTGTTTTATGTATATCTTCTGGAGCCATCTTTATCTGATTATACCCGGCATTCCCATCCATAAAAGATAGGACTTTATGTTTTGCTACTGCATCTATGGATAAATCGGCCATGGGCATGGGATACTCATCCTTTGGTGTAGCGCCGTTAATATTTCTATAATCCATACAACATCGTACCGCTTTTGTTACAGCTTTTAAAACGGGTACGATGTTGGCTAACCATTCCACATATTTGGCTGGTCTGATAAAGCCAGCTTTCGCTAGCCTTTCAATCTCTTCTTTGACCTTTTCTTCTATCTTCTTTGACATCCTCCGTGGTGCTTGCTTGACAGGTTTATATCCCTCTTTGATGGGCATTCTATGTTCCACCAAGGTTGGATCTAACCCTGGCATCTCGGTATAATGCCAAGCAAAACAGTCTTTGAATTCTTGCAAAAGACAAACAATCCTTGCCCGATCATCAACCCCCATTAAACCACTGATATGTATTGGTCTCGGATCCTCCTCTGTTCCTAAATTAATAACTTCCAGAGGATCCTGGACTTCTGGTGGTGGCTTATCCGGTTCTGTACACAAAAATTCGACCAGCTCCGGGCTCTCGGGCAAGTCGTCTGGCCCGTCTAGATCATATATGCACTCGGCCATTTGAATGGCCCTATCCAGTTATTCTCTGCAAGATTCCTCCTTGCTTTCATGCTGGCTGGTTGAAGTTCCCACCTGCCATTCCTGTTCTTCCCTGTCCAAGAAATCCCTTTCTTGCCTTCTTCCCTTCCCATACACCAACAGTCTTTTAATCAGGGATCTGACTGCCATTACCTGATCTCTCTTCTTTTGTTCAGTCATTGATGGTGTAGGGGATTTGGGAGGATACAAGGTCTATCCCACTCCTCTCTAGTAAGGAGCATGAGGATACAAGGTCTATCCCACTCCTCTCTAGTAAGGAACATTCCTTGTTCCAAAAGCTTTTAGGCCGTCACCTTGGTAGGGCGGCCGTTCTCGTCAGCTCCTGAACACTTCAAGATTCCTACATTGGGGTTGTAGAAACTTGCTTCCGCAACATTGGCTGTGGGGAGAAATGGCCGTGATTTAGCCTCTACCATCTCTCAAAAGCCTGGTCATTCTATGCCTGCTTCATGATAAACAGCCACTTGTTGATGAAAAGTAGAGGGTATGGCCAAACCTTGGTGGATCCAATCTCTTTCGAGTAAGGCCCCATAAGTGGAAGTGCAGTCCACCACAAAGAATGCCAGCATTATCTTTTTAGATCCTAGATCCACTTCTAGAGGCAATATCCCATGAGTCTTAGTGATAGCGCCTGAGAAGCTAGAGACTGTGAGGTCTGTGGGAATAAGATCCTCCGTGCCTCTTCCCATCTTCTTCATCTGCTTGGCTGGTAACACATTAACAGCTACTCCTCCATCAATTAGAATTCTTTTGAAGGGCACACCTTCTAGGTGAGCTGTAACGTATATGGGTTTCAGATGATTGGCCAACGAGCTGTTCGGGCAGCTAAACACCATCTCATCTGTGTAAATCCTTAGAGGACCGCCTTTGGATGCTTCTGAAGATTCAGCCTTGCCCGAGCTTTCTTCTTTAACTACCTCTACATTGACATGTGCCATCATTGGCTCAGTTGTCAAGTAATCACCCTCCATAGTAGCGGGTTAATCAGGTCTGGCACCAAACGTGGCGGACAACACATATGTCATGTTGATATGGAAATTACTAGGCTAGGGCAGATCTTCTTTATTGCCCCCAATCTGGTCCATAAATTCATCCAACCAGGTCATCGCATCAGCTGGAAGTAATGGTTCTGGTGCCCCCTCTTGTTGTTGTTGGTTCAAGTCCGCATACAGTGTTTGTTTTGGAACTTCACCAAAAGGATCCACCAATGGCAGAGAATGAAGTCTCTTTTCAGATGAAATAGTTCCAAAGCAAATAGGCTCTGGCTTCCACCCAGGGGTTGGCACCATGATTAGATCTTCTTGAGCTCTCATCAAGATCCTATACTTCCCAGGATGTTGGCTTTGCGGCACGTGATCCCCCTCGCCTTCTGTCTTGCTGTTGGCCTTTTCCACCTTTTTCTTACTTCTCCAACGGAGTTGACTACTTCCCCTAGATGTTGTTTTCTCCAACTTGTGATTTTTGGAGGATTCGGATGTTGTGGGGGTCTTCAGGGCATTCATGTAGGCTTTGTGCTGTCTTTGAACCCTCCTGACCATGGAGGCTCCCATTGGTTTGGTAAGCTGTCCGTTCTTCCCGACTACATACCATTTTCGCCCGAGGTAGGCAGGATGCTCTTTTCTAACAGGATTGGTCATGCCATCAATCCTCTTGATTTCCCTCCCCATCTGGCCATATTGAGGATGATCTGTACCCCTTTGTATTTTGGCTTCCATATCTTTTGCTTCTTCAGAAACTTCATGGTTTCGAAATACTTCTGACAAAGCTTTGGGTTGGGAATCACCTCCTAGTCGTTGAAAAACGCTTCGAGAAGTGTCCTTTTTTGTTGCCTGCTTAATCTTTTCGCGGGCTTCTCTTCTGACGTCTTCTTCCTTTCTCCTGATTAGTTCACGGTCAATGAGGACTCCAGCCGGGGGAATTTCGAGCTCACACTTGCATTGGCACTTACTGCACATAACCATCCCTTTGATTATGGCTGCTTTTGGATATTCGGTTGTTTTAATCACCCCTCCTGTAGGTTTTTCAGCCAATCTCTTCTCTTCTGGTTCCCTTGTAATTCTTTCTTTTCCCTTCTCAACCCATGTCATATTGATCATATTTACAGGGACTTCTGAAAAGGGAACTGTAGGTTTGTCTACCACCAACTCTTCAGGCGGGCTGGTTTTAAGTCTCTTTCCCTCGGGAGGAACCAGGTCTGTTTCTTTTCTGAAGCCGGTGGAAGCTTTCTCCAACCTTTGCAACATTTGTAGTAACGTGGTTTGTAAACCTTCTGGCATTTTGACATATATCTTCTGATCAGAGGGATCCCACCGGGCGTGCCAAAACTATGTTCGCGTCAGGAATTTTCGTCGGGGATGTTTCCTGGCCGACGAGGGCTGCTGTCGGGCTTCTGCTTCACTTTCGGGCGTTGTCGGGCAAGTCTCGTCGGGCAAGTCTCTTCGGGCAAGGCTCTTCGGGCAAGGCTCATCGGGCAAGGCTGAAAGAGAAGGACAACGTTAACTTTGAGAGGTGCCTTTGTGGGGCCTTAGGTGTAGGCCTTGAGGCTCACAATCAAGGTTAACATTTAGGTGCTCAGGCGTGCCACTGCCATCTTTAGCATGGCAGATGTAAAATGGATGTCGCGATTTAGTTGCATATATGTATGTATCCAAGAAACCGTGTTAGTTATAACAGGTGCCTTTGTGGGGCCTTAGTTGTAGGCCTTGAGGCTTCCCATCAATAACTAAACCGGTGCTCGAACACATCATATTTGTTCTCGTGATTGCCGGAGTTTTCTAACTATTATACTTCTGATTACCCGAGTCCAAGAAGTAGAATGAACCCAAATAGGTGCATTCGTGGGGCCTTAGGTGTAGGCCTTGAGGCTTCCCATCAGAGTTCATTCTTATACTTCGACTCTTTAGATCGCAGAACGGAATGAATCCAAATAGATGCCTTTGTGGGGCCTTAGGTGTAGGCCTTGAGGCTTTCCA